AGGAGATCCAAACATCATCACTGCTGCTGTGTTGAAATTCACTAGTCCGTGACGCACAAACAGCTGAGTTAGCTCAGAGCATGTTGCAATGGCTGACGGCAAGATATGTGTGGAAAATGCTAGCGACAAAGAATTCATGTTTAAAACAACAGCATGTCTCTTATTTGGAGATATTTTGGTTACAAGAGAGACAACGCTCAACAAACACGAGTACTTACTAAGGCATGCCAAACAATTGTGCCAACCATGAGAGGAAACATGACAAATCTCCGTTGTCATCTCCAACATAACCATAAAGACCTATATACAGAGCTCTAGAAAGCTAGCGTTAACAAACCCAGTGTCTTGACATTAAGATAAGTAGGAGCACAACAGCCCACCAGATGTCCATCTGTATTGTGGGTGGAATTTCATATGAGAAATAATCAAAGCGTTACAAGGAAATAACGGAGGAAGTTGCACGCTAAGGCGATGATGCCAATGAACACAACAAACCAAGAGCCAAACTCTACACTTGCATATTTGCAACTACAAATTATTTCTGTTTCCTTTTAAATCTGAGTATAATTCTTGCCTAAGCCAGCACCACAAGCTTCCTCCAGGCTGTACTGTAAGCCCACAGCAGACAAACCTGAAATCCCTCAGCTGCTCTTTGTTCTTTCTTCTTATTTTGTTTTTCTTGTTTTTTGAACTTGTGCATATGTAGGAGATGACTCATCAAGTCCAACGAGAGTTCAACTAAACCAACAGTGATTTCTCCGAAATATGCACACGGCCACAGAGAGATGCTCCCCTGTGAAAAGCAAACAGACGATGCTGCCAGAGAGAGGTGTTGTGCCTGCTGCCTCTGTCAACCCAACAAGGTTGGCATTCACAGCATGAGCAGTGTGTGTGGTTGTGAATTTGTGCAGACATAAGTGTTTAGGAGGGGTTTTGTTAGTGTCTGTCAAGGGAGACCTTGACATCCTTTCTCTGCATCTAAAAAACCCAGCTGGGGAGTATCTGATGTGCCTTGACCACCCTGCAGCTGTGCCAACGTCCTGCCAACATCCTGTCAATCACACTGACCCCACCCTCCTCCAGTCTTCACACATGTAACAGCTATTCTTTGCCCACCTTTTCCCTTCGTCATAGCTGCTTCTTTCACATGCTAGTGAGGTCAACAGTAGCATGTGACCTTGCAGACTGCGTGGACAGCAGTTTGAACTGCAACAAGCACACTGAGTGTTGCTCCTTCAAACTAATCAAACTAATTGAGCTTTCACTCAATTTAAAGTCATTAGTTCTCACATGTCTGATGAGATATACTCATTAGTGTAAGTCACACTTTAAATCATATTAGTAACTTTTAATGCTAATTACAATTGATGAGGATGATCATTAAATGTATTAGTTATCTTCAACAGAGTGCAATGTTCAGTATGAAGCATGCTAGCAATGTAATAAGTAATAGTCTACAAGTGGACTGAATTCACCTCGACATAAAATCCAACTAAAGCCAATTAAACCACCAAGCTACAGATAAATAAGTACTATTTTACTATTCAATCATCACGAAAAGTTCAATTGGATAGAGGAATAGATTCAAGCCAAAATGAATCAGATTTCCCATTCACATAGACCAGTGGCACACTAACGCCGGGGACACATCGGCCGCGGAAGCGCTGCGAAGCGCCGCGAAAATGGGACCGCCTTCATTCGGCGCCCTTGTTAAGCTATTCTATAGACTACGCCGTGCAGCGATCAATTTCGGCGTCGGCTCTATTTTTTCGCGAGCCGCGGGTGAATCGCATCAATTCTGGCAGGAAGTCAAACCTAGACATAAGAGGCAGACCGGTAAAGTTAACGAAATAAAGCATTTCAAAATAAAATTCCGCAATAGTCAAATGTGTTCATAATCAGACACTGCAGAAAAACCACACGAACACACACACACACACATACACACATCGAACTTGTGTGCGCGTGTGACCACGTGAAGGGGGGTGTGGTTTTGGGTGTCTTTTCACTGGAGCATACAGGACAGAGAGGCAGAAAGTCTGAGGCAAACAGTTAAGATGGATGACTTTAAATTAATTATGGAAGTTGAGAAACACAAGGAGCTGTACGACCCCTGAAAAACATGATTATTTACGTACCCATTTCGGAAGAAACTGCTAGGATACAGCTGCAGAATTGGAGCGGGTTCCAAGAGATTCAACTGGCAGAAACAACTGGTTCATACCATAGGTTCACACACACACACACACACACTCGCACACACACACACACGCACACACACACACGCGCACACACACAAACACTCAAACGTAGAGGAAAAGAGCTGAGAAAAGGCAGAGAGGAAATGGAGGACACCAAGTGTTTAAAAGAAAAACTACAGCTGAGCCGAGGCGCGCCTCGAATGGGGAGCGTCTGATCTGAACTGAGGAGCGGCGAGAAGCGGCCAAATTTCGTGAGCGATTCGCTTCTCGGCGCTTCCGCGGCCGTTGTGTCCCCGGCATAAGGCAGCCCACCTATCATCTCCTCTTTCCGGCCTCTTTCTGACCGCCACCAGACCTTTCACTCAGTTACAATGTTAACAGGATGACTGCCATAGGGTTAGCTCCACATTCTCTAACAACACACCTCCCCCATGCACACACACACACACGCGCACACACGGACTGGCCCTCCAACCAATAGAAATGTTTTTATGTGGCCCTTGGCCACTTGATTTTGAGTGCCCCTGACATAGACTTTAACACTGATTACTCAGGTGAAAAGTTGACTCAACCTGTCCAATATTAATTTTTCTCATAGCCTCAATAATGACCAAATGTTCTCACTAAGAGAATGTTGACTGGCAGCTAGGGCTGGGCAATATATCGATATTTTTAAAATATCGATATAATTTTTAAACAGGCTACAAAATGACATTATATCTTTATATCGATATAACTGGTCAAACTGCTATGCTAGCGATTAGCCGCTATGCTAGTGTAACCGGGTCACCTTAGTTCCCGGAAGTTATTCTGGTTATACGTGTCATGCCGCTGACACAGGGGAGGCCAGGTGTGTAATCAGAGGGCTGCTATAACTAGGGCAGCTGGGGTCTAGCCGCAAAAGCGGAATGCCTCGCTTTGGGCGCGGACGTGGGTGCAGCTAAGTGGTGAGTGACCTGGCTTTGCTTCAGTTTAGTTAACGGTTATATTTTTAATCGGTTTTTCTTTACGAAGTGTGAGCAGGACTGAGGGGTGAACAGCCGGAATTTTCATTGGCAAGCGGTCGGCCAATGAGGTACTGGTTTACAACATTCACAGCATTTTTATGTTCCGTTAGAATAGGACTAACAATGCGTGTTTTGTTCACAGACCTTAGCCTGCTACTGTTTTTCCAGTTCTTTTATTAAATCTTTTCTAGTTCTTTTATTAAACCGTTTGCCGGTTTTATCTTGTTACTAATAGTTTTCTCCAGAGGGGGAAGGAAGCAAACTTGTTTGTGAGTCGGGTGGTTAGCGTTAAGCACAGCGCTGTCTCTGGGAGGCTAGTTTCTTTTAGAGTATCCGCTGTAGGGGTTTGTCGGGGGTTTTACTCACTTCTGGGTGACGTGTGTATGAGCTTTAGTTAAAGGGAGCACTGAGTGTTTTTCTTTATATTATTGTCTCTTGTCTCGGTTCCCTACAGCGGCTTTGTGCTTTTAAATAGTAGTTGGATGGCGTTGTGTGTAGTCCCAGGGCCAGCATTGTCGTCGCTCCTCCCTCTCGTGGTTTAGAGTTTTAGCCTATTTTTATCCCGACCTGGGTTGTCTTTAATAAATCTCCTGTGCTGTATCTTCTAAATAAAATTGTTAAACTTGTGAATAAGCCTCTGCTGTTTTCATCAAGGGTTATTATTACCTACGGTTTTAGGTACCATTCCATTTGCAGATGATACAACACTGTTTTACTCAGGATCAAATATTGAGGAGGTGGCTAAAGTGATAAATGATGAACTGTTTAAAATTAAAAACTGGTTTGATATAAATAGATTGACACTGAATCTTAATAAAACACATTTTATACTGTTTAATGATAAAAAGAACAGTGATGTGTCATTGGATATAGATGGGATTGAAATTCAAAGAGTAAAAGAAACAAAATTTCTTGGAGTTCTTATTGATGAAGACTTGACATGGAAATCCCATATTAGTTACATCAAAGGTAAAATAGCCAAATCCTTAGGAGTATTACATAGAGTCAAGTTTTTACTGACTAATTCTGGTTTGTTGGCATTGTACAATTCACTGATTGTTCCATACTTGACTTATTGTGTAGAAATCTGGGGAGCAACATACAAAAACTATACACAACCCTTATTTATTTTACAGAAAAGAGCTCTGAGAATCATCAGTTATAGTGGCTGTAGAGATCCATCGAACCCATTGTTTATTAAGTATAAATTACTGAAATTTCATGATTTAAAAGACTGGAAAATTATGCAAACCATGCATAAAGCCAATTTAGGTACTCTGCCAACAAACATTCAGGGGATATTTGAAAAGAGAACTAGTAATTACATGATGAAAGAAACTGATGTGTTTACAAAACCTAGATTTAGAACTGAAATTAAGCAGTGGAATATATCTGTAAATGGTGTCAAATTATGGAATAACCTTAAAAGGGAAATTAAAAAAACTCTGTCATTTAATATATTCAAAAAATGTACCAAATTGAGTGTACTAAATAATAAAGAAAATGTAAATTAAATCAATGATCATCATGATCACACTGGAATTTAGAACAGGAAAAAGTTTAAAATGAATCTGTATGTGTGTGTGTCTGACAAATGGAAATTATATATAAATTGATTATTTCTACTGGAAAAGGGGGCAGAAATTATAAGATGTTTTTCTTCATTCTGCTTCTTTTCGTTCAAATTTGATTTTTGTTATGTATGTCTTATTGTTTATATGTTTTATTTTGTTTTTATTTTGAATGAAATAAACAAAGAATTTTTTTTATTATTTTACATTAATTATAAATATATAATAAAAAAGTGCCTGTGGGACATTTGATACAACTCTAGCTCTAAACTGTGTGATAGCAGACAAATGTACCAGTGTTTCTAAAGCTCAGACTGGTAGAGAATAGGCACTAAGGTTAAAGTTTGACAAGAATCAACACATTTTTATGCATTTAATCTACTGATGTATATAATTTCTCAAGACAGCTTGAAGTGAGTTAACTTGTAAATATTTTACAGGAGGAAAAATATCGAGATACAGTATTTTTGAAAAATGATCAGTGACTCCAAGTTTCACGAGCAGGCTGAACCTGAAAATAATATTATATTCCTAGTTACTGCATTAGTCACTGTGAAACCTAAAACTCTGTTTATTTCTGTCTACACAGAAAAGTTTAGAATGGAGACACAAATCTTGACTTTGGCCAGATTTTTTAAAAAGATTTGTTTACATTGCGTACATCTGTGTTTTTATGTGGTTGACAGGGCGAATCGTAGAAAAATATCTTTGTTTTGGGAGATACCCAGCTACGTGCAGACAGGGCCTTAGTGTGCTCATTGGTGTGCAAATGGAAAAACACTGAATGTAATGTAATTGCATTGATTATTTAATGCACTTCAGTAATAGTTCAATATATATTAATCTTACTTGGTGTCTTGGATTGCCTAAAACACAGTGACCTGACACCTCTGGCAGACTACATTTCCATATAGCTTTTAATACACACATGGCATCAAACAGTGATTGTTGTGCTTTGCTCATTTTAAAAATCTACAGGCTAAGATCACACTTGCCTGCATTTCTGCAAAAGCATGGCAGATGTGGTCTTGTGTAAAGTAAATAATCTAGACTGCTCATGTCTCCCTGCCTGCCAACCTGTATTTTTTCAGTATTTTACAATCTTTTGTTTATCTTTTGGTGCATCTGTGTGTTTCCCACTCATTTTCATGAGTATTAGAAAAGAGCGCCTCAAGTAAAAGTTGAGCCAACTCTGAGCCAGACATTAATAATTGAGGAGGGCGTGAGGCGAGAGAATGGCTTCTGCAATATTTATATGTCATATTGACTTGACTGCCAGCCGCTCGGCCATGCAATCACTACTTATAAAGTCTCACAGATGACTAAGGACGCAACTTCATGTCGACCCCAGCCTCCTCCTTCTCTATCTCCTTCCACTGATCTTCCATCTATATGCCATCTCCTTGCTCTCCACTCTCCCTCAGTCAGCCATATCTTGTCTTGTTCCCTTCTCTTTCCTTCTGTCTCTTTTCTTCCCCCCTCTCATCAGCTGCCATCTCTCAGAAGAGCATGGCATGCCCATGGGCCAAATTCAATTACAGACCAAATTAAAGAGATGCGTCTTAACTCCCCTAGCAGACAAAGGGAACACACATGCAGCAGATACACCAGAGCTGCAATCAGAAAACCCACAAAGACCTCTAGAACCAGCCCACCCAGCAGACAAAGATAAAAAATAAAGATATTCTCTGCCTCCATCATCTGTTGTGCTACAGAAATCAACACAAACAACTGGAAAGAACCTGCACAAACTGATTGTGAGCTGTGTCCTTGAGTTCAGCATAGAGCTTTCCCGCTGCTGCTCTCAAAAAACCCTTTCCTTTACGCTTCTCCATCTCTCCGAGCCCCAGATGCAGTCATTAATGAGCCATTTCATTACTGACATTGCTGTGGAAAAAGTAGCCAGCTGCCTAACTGCTCCAAACATAAGAGGACAATCTGATGAATTAAAACAGTAAAGCAGAGGAACAAATGATCTGCATTTTACCCTCAGCTATAAAATATCAAACCTTCAAGAGTAAGAGTGTTTCTGAGGCCACCCAATTATGTAGCACGGCAAGCCTACGCCAGGTGTTTTTCAATCTGATTAAATGGAAGCCCACTGGAGGACACCCAGTCCACTTGTTCTCTTCTACAGAGAGATTAGATTACAAATCTCACCGTGAAATAAAATCACTGTTTCTTAGTATTAGGTAAATTCAGTTTTTGTCTGCTATGAAAGAAGAGCTGAATGATGAAGGAGGGACTTGATGTAGAAGGAGGTCCTGGAGCTTGAGCAAAATGTTTTAGCTTAAAAAGTCTTATGAAGTAGGAGAAAATGGACAAAAAAGGGAACAAAATCCTATTGAAACACACACAAAAGTCTATGATGGCACTAACTGCATAATTTTGATCTAATGGGCAACTGAAGTTTTTTTTTAAATATTAAATTCTAGTAGTTTTTGACAAAAGCATTAAAAGGAGATATTGGTATTAAGTAGAGAAATTCAATTTACGTTAAATCTTGGACTTCCTGTTACCAGTTGAGTAAAAACTCCCTCAGGTCTGATTCAGTAAGTGATATCTGCATGTGTGCATCACGTCTGTCTTTTGTGTGTGTGTGTGTGTGTGTGTGTGTGTGTGTGTGTGTGTGTGTGTGTGTGTGTGTGTGTGTGTGTGTGTGTGTGTGTGTGTTGTGGCACGTGGCAGGAAGAGGGGGTGGGTATTGCTGTGTGTAACCTCTGCCCTCCCTGAGGATAAAGCAATAATAATTCACCACCGAGCTGAACAGATACAGCCTGGAGGCTCAGACAGTACATGGGAACAACAACACACACACACACACACACACACACAACTTGAAACAGCCATAAACCAACAGCCACCCACACTGTCTTCACTGAACACAGCACGTAACATAAGTCTGTGCAAACAAACAGTTAATCACTGCAGTAGTACATATGTAAATAACACAGCAGTGTGTGTGTTTGTTTTAGAAAAGTGCACCCATTAGGTCTCAGATATTACATGAACTTGTGTTAAGGTGTCCCAAACAAACAATTGTCAGCACACACACTCACAATGACCTCTTCATGACAGCAACTGTGGACAGATGGATCAACAAATTCAGATAGATCAATTGGAAGGCAGTACCCCCGCCCGCCAACTCCCACCACTCCTGAAGCGCAAACACACACCATCCATGACTGTGACACTGGGACAGGAGGGCGACTGTCTGTCATTGTCCTGTAAGGGGATATCCGAGATGATGTTGGTGACTTATCCACACTCTCCATAATCCATTGTGTGTGTGTGTGTGTGTGTGTGTGTGTGTGTGTGTGTGTGTGTGTGTGTGTGTGTGTGTGTGTGTGTGTGTGTGTGTGTGTGTGTGTGTGTGTGTGTGTGTGTGTGTAGCAGAGTGGGCCTGGTGGTGTTGATAAGGGCTGAGGGCTTAGTCCTCACTTGCAGGGACACACTCAGAGCATTAATGAGCCCACAGCACAGAGAAGAGCCTCTGCCAAAAAGGTCTTTATCAGCCTCTAGGAGCATGTGTGTGTGTGTGTGTGTGTGTGTGTGTGTGTGTGTGTGTGTGTGTGTGTGTGTGTGTGTGTGTGTGTGTGTGTGTGTGTGTGTGTGTGTGTGTGTCAGTCTGAATGAAAGGAGCAGAATCTGTGTCTTCATGTTGGTTTTACTTCTTTCTTCTATATACGTACACTGGGTTGCATTTTTTTTAAACACATCGACTATCAAAGCCTCTCCACAAACATGGTGCATTGCCTTGGTGTAGATATGCTGTAACCGGAAAGTGCAGGTTTGGATGCCACACATGGCAGTTCTGTCTGAGAGAGCACATCCATCATGCAGACAGCTAAAACTCAATGAGTGTGCCTGTGTGTGATATAAGAAGTTAGTTAGTGCGGTGATAGAGTGATTTTGCCAGAGCTACCAAAGCCAAGATACAAGCCGACTGACTGACAGAGTATTATACTGGTTGGCAACATAAAGCAGAGGATAAACGTCAGAGAGAAAATGGAGACAAGGAAAGACTGACATCAAGTATAGAGGCAGGGTGACGTAGGATGGAGAGAGGACATGTCTCCAAGCATGTCTGCACCAAACTAGCAGCAGAGCAATATTTCTAGTCCCTCTGTTCATTCTCAGTAAGCAACAAGTGATGCATACTTTAATGTGTATGTAAAACACCTGGAGAAAAATACCCATGTACACCAAATGCTGTTGCAGCTGCAACTTTCTCACTTCTTGTCTGATTTTAAGGCATTACAGCAACAGGAACATTTGCCCACAACATGCACAGAGGGAGAAAAACAAGTGTCTTGAAGCCAAGAATGTTGCTTTAACTAAGTCTAAACCAAATGTATCTAATTATCAATCATTATAAAGAAGACAGACGCTAAGGAAGCAGGTAGCATGAAACATTAGTGCATTTGGAGTATTCCAGGTGTACAAATGTGCATTCCAGCGTGTACAAGTTTAAGTGATGCAGGTTTGAAACGGCAGCAGGGGAAGAGATCAATCAGCAGTGAGGGAGACAAGAGCTTGGGACGGTGGGGTGGGGTTCAGGCTGTCACAGGAATGTAATGTTAAAAAAATGTATACTCAGACAAATAATCATGATTCCAGACTTATTTGTTCTTTTCTACTGATTTTTATGTAACCATTTAAAAGGAAGTCAAACCTCTAACTTAAAAAAAATGTAACATTATATCATGGTAATGAGGTGTGAACTCAAGAATTCAACCAACACACAGAACGGAACAACAACTAAAATGTAATGACCAGGAAAGACAGGAAGGACTGGTGTGGTGCGACTTCACTTAACTCAACACAGCAAACTTGATGTGGCTTAAACTTTGCTTGTCTTAACTTACTTGGTTTGATGTACTTCACGTGACAGGAACAGGCCAGTGAGGGGTCCAGCACTGAAGCTGTGGCAGCAAAGAGCTTATGTTGACCACAGGTGGAAATAATCAACCAATCAGGAGCGTATAGTTCGATGATTCAGTACAGAGACAAGGAAACCATCCAGGAACCTGAATTATGACACAAAGTGGTCCAGTCATTACGTTAGCCTCAGTTAAAACTTAATTAGATTCAATTCAGTTCATTTATATAACGTCAAATCATGAGAAGTGGTCTCAAGACACATCACAAAGTAAATACTCATTTCAGTACAGTTCAACTCATTAAGCCAGTCAGGAAAACGTTTCCTATATAAGGGACCCAGCAGACTGCATCGAGTCACTGACTAGTGTCAGAGACTTTACAGCAATCCTCATACAAGGCAAGCATGCAGCGACAGTCGAGAGGAAAATTTAACGTCTGTTCATAAAATTAGCTTGTGCATATTTGGGTTATTATTACTTGTGAAAAACATAAACATAAACTCTATCAAGCAATCTGCATGAATTTACAAAACTTAAAGGCCTGCAGGAAACAAACTCACATAACACCTGTGTCTGCTTCCCTCGAGTAATAGCAGTCATTACCGCTACCAAGCAACGTGAGCACACACTCACACCGTCCAGCAGGTTATTACACTAGCAGTGTAGCTTATTACCCTGCCTCAGTGCCACTCAATTATTCTGCCTGGGTCCACGGGGAAAGGACAAGCCGCTCAGTGTGCTACTTACAATATGTCTAAGTAGGCCAAAGAGACCGACTAAAGCATGACACGCAGACGAGCCACATCACACCATACAGAGAGCATGGTGTCCAGGAACAGGTAACACACTCTCAGGAGCTGCTTTCAGTCAGTATGAATGCAGATATTAATGTAAATCAGCTGCACAGCCACAATATGGAGATTCTGACTTCACATCTTTATAAAACATTTAACTGTGATCACTGAAAACTACTTTCCCTCTATGAACGGCTGATGAAATAACATTTTTTTCAAAATGCAAATTAAGACAGGTCATCCCAACGTCGCTGCCCTCCTTCCTCCAGATATTTCTAATACACTTTTACAATGTGGTGGAGAAATGGAGAGGAGGCTGATGAGAAAAACGGGGGGGGGGGGGGGGGGGTGTAAGATCTATTTTAGTGCGAGCTTACGCAGAGCTGTGTGGAATTAGAAGCACCGTCTGACCAAGCCATGATCTGGGGACTTATTAAAGACTCTTATTAAAAGTTAAGGAAGGCTCTAAGAACCTTAAAATAAGCTTGGGGAGGTGGGAGAATCATACAGTGGCGAAGTGGCATGTGTGACAGCAAAGGGATGGAGCTCAAAACATTTTTCCTGGACTTGCTTTATTCTTTTCTTTTTCTGTTGTCATACATTTACATGGCGTACCCTCCTCCTCACTCATGCAGTGACTCTTTCTCTGGCTATGACCAGGTCAGCTAAATAAAGTCCAAAGCTTCAGTCTGTTTTTTGGACAGCTTAAACTCTCACACATAGAAACAAGCAAGCACATAAAAAACTTGTCATGTGCGCAGGTTGCAGGTAACAGATTTCTGAGCACATTCCTTCTCCTGTATTACTAAGCAGTGTGCAGCACAGGCACCGTGCAGGCTATACAGGCTGACTTGGTTTGGTGCAGTCTTGTCAAGCTGCTGCTGCTTGTACCGTAGGGCAAACAGGGAATGTTGTACCGCCTGATTATTGATCAGTTAAAAGATAAGGCTTGCTACGGCTTAGCAGCAGACCCTAGGGGAGGTGTTGGTGTAGACTAGAGCTGACTTTCTACCCACCAAAGAACTCTGAGGTGTGGATCGAAGACCACAAGATGTTTGTGTGCATCTGAAAAATGACCTTACACAGCCTGTGATCAAAAAAAGTAAAAGTAAAGCCAATGTAAGTAATTTCCCATATTTAGTCACTTTCATTCCCTCATGCTCTCTCTAAATGCAACCCATCATCAACGCTTTGTCCTTCAAACCAGAGTAGGCAGCAGGCATAATGGAAACCATGGCAACGGGACGGCAAATAGACAGTACTGCTTAGAGTGAGCGAGGATGGATGGATCCACGGCTGGATGGGGTTTTCTGAGAGGACAACTGAAGGGGAAGTGAACTGAGAAGATATGTAAGAGAAAAAGAATATGATTCTCTACACTGCTTTTCAACACCCTCCCTCCTTCTATACACATGTCTGTGTAGCACACACTGACACACATATTGTGCTGCACCAACTTCATTTGCTTGGCAAATCTGCAGGACTTTGAGGCATAATGTGAGCCAGTGCTTAGTTTTAATAAGGGCTCAATGGGGGTTTCCTGATCATTTGCAAGTCTTAGCTATCAAAGTTACTCATTAGGCGTATATGGGCCACAGAACCGAGCTGGAACCATACCAACAAGAACCATGCAGTGGTTCCCAGTCACCAGGATTTGGGCATCAAATCTGTTTTATGAACCTTCGCTAACAGCATGTAGTGGCTTAAGCTTTCCTGAGATTTTATGCCGTTTTCCTCTGGCAGTTAGCTAGAATTATATTGTCAAATTTAAAATCAACTTCACAGGAACAAATGTACAAGGATTAATGAGAATTTATTCTAATTTATTCCAGGCCTAATCCCTCATTATATCCCTCATAAGTAGCTGTAAGCAGGCAGATGCACATACACTCACTGAGGCACTAATACCTCCAGTTAGTTACCTTTTGCTGGAAAACCTCTTCTTCAGTCAGATCTTACTGTCAATACTTTTTGGGGTCAGTGTAAAAAAAAAGAGAAAATACATTTACAAAATTTTTAATTGTTTAAAGTTTGGCACTTGCTCTTTAGCCTATTTATTCATTAACTTCCCCTTGTCTAAGTCAAATGACTCCTAATATGATATGCATAATAAACACTAACTTAGTAGCATGTTGTTAGCATGTGTTAGCTTAAATATACGTTGACCGTTAATGAATAGCAGGTTTATCGTTAGCATGTGTTAGCTTAAATATACGTTGACCGTTAATGAATAGCAGGTTTATCGTTAGCATAGTTAGCTTAACTAGCATGTCTTCAGGTTCTGCAGTCTTGTGGTAAACGTAGCCTCCATTTAAGTTTGTATATTTAAAGCTCAATATGATTTTTTAATTTTTTATTATATTTATTATCGTTTCCAAGGAAACAATTAAAACCTTACCTCAAGTTTGTAGGTTTTCAACTGGCGTTGGAAAACGTGGTAGTGGGCTACTTAGCGCCCTCTTGTGTTCAAAAATGAGAAATTATTACAAAAAGGCAGCTAACATATACTGTATATTGTGTAACTAGGAATCTCTTTATAATAGTAAACCGTGTTTAGTTGGTTTAATTGTTCTATCAAAATAAATACAACCCAAGGCAAAGCATCATTCAAACAGTTTGTTTAATCATGATTATAGAACACAGCTGTGTAAGTCCATCATCAAATAACACAATGGTGTAGGGAAAGTCAGTCAAGGCTTACCAGGGCCGAGACGAGACATTAGCTGTGGAAGTCAAAGTCACCTTTTTTGTTCAACTATCTTACAATCTAAACAACAATAATATAAACTGTTCGATTTTGCAAGGCTGATAAATGCAGGTGGAGCTGTTTCTTACAAGCTCTATATGACTTGAGCAGTTCCAGCTTCACCATCACCAGTTTGTTTTAAATATTTATTTGTAAAATCAATACGGCTTCTATTTTATTTTTCTCTTTTCTTAGTTTTTTTGCACACCAGACATTTGGAGCGCTCTGAACTTTGAATCAAATGACATCATCAGTGGGCAAACTTGTTTTGTGCTGGGATGGGGGGGGGGGGGGGGGTCCTGTCCACTGTAGCAAGGAAAACTGGGAATTTTATATACATTATGTTACATCGGTTTTGAGCAGATCTTTTTTGAAAATCATAAGTCATATGATATAATTGCAAATCCTAATGCCAACGTGGCCGTGCCCCTAGTGGCTGGTTCCAGTATATGTTTGAAGTCCCGCCCCTTCACATAAAACCTATTTTCCAGATTAAAATGTAAAAATGTGTCTTGAATGATGTTGACTATGTGTTGTTTTATTTATTTAGTTTTGTTTGTTTGTTTGTTTGTTTGTTTGTTTGTTTGTTTGTTTGTTTGTGAAGATTTTAACTGGCAGCTGTATGTCTCAGTATGAATTTGGTTACATGGAGAGAAGGTGCCACAATCAGAATACCTGCAGAAAGCAAAAACAAATAGAAGCAAACAAAACTAAACCAAACTAATTTGACTTAAAAACACAAAAATGCAATCCCAAGCCAATTATTTGTTCTATGTTTGAGCTTTGTGGTTTAACATAAGGCCCCACATTACAATAACTCATCCAGGGGATCACAAGCTGCTGAAGCGCCTCAAATCCAGCATAAAAATACCCACAGACTTTGTAAAGGAATTAAATCAAACATTAACTGTGTGTGTCTTGAATGTGTCCTGCTCAAGTCATCAAAACTTGGTTGCTGAGCTCACTAACTGTGCTTAACTCCAGATGTATATCTACTGCAGGGTCTGTCACAGCTTGCTGAATCTGGCTGACATTGACTGACAGTGTTTTGGTCTGAGTTCTACTCTGCCATGTTTTTCTCGTTGATTCACAAGGATCAGAGAGAAGCTGAGAGGAGGAGAATAACGCACTGGTGCACTGACAGAGATGGACAGGGGCATATACTGCTTTCGTATTGTTTGTTCTTCTTTAAAGCCCAACAAACCAGACAAATTTGTATCACTCATAACTAAACCAAATCAATATTTTTTTATTGTTGGGGAAAAAGTTAAATAACTACATTCCTTCACTTCTTGTCTTTGACTACACTGTACTCCTGCACTCTGCTCATTTTTCACAAAATCTCATAAAGAACTTTCTGAGAGCTTTCTACACTGAGAAAATTCTCAGCTCTACTGACTCTCAGAAACTATTTTTGACATTCAAAACTCTGCTCAACCCTCCTTCTTCACCTCCTACCAACAATCTATCAGCTGACACCTTTGCCTCATTCTTCACTGACAAAGTGGCAGCTATAAGCAAACAGTTTACTCAACTGGCCACTCCTGAACATTCGCTACCACAAACTCCTTCTAGTCTAACCATCTCAAGCCCTACTGCTTCATTTT